AGAACTGCATAAACATTCTTCTGGCTCACAGCAATTTTGAAGCATCCCTTTTATGAGGAAAGCACTGATCCCAAGATCAGTTTTAATATACAAAAAGAAGTGATGAATATTCACATATGAACATTTACAAAATGAAATGCACAGATATTGCAAAGCTGGAAGAGTGAAAGAACATTTGGGGCTCAGACACGTCTTTACACACGTTTAAAGAACAAGTATGGAAAGTTGAAATAATCTTATCAAAAATTGAAAACCGTCTCTAAAATAAGAATATAAAATGCAGAATAATGGAATATCAGTCCCATCCAGCATCGCTTTTTGGCAGAAGCATGTCAGATAGCTGTTAGGAAGTGGACCCATATCCTCTCTCCTAGTTTTTGTATCAGTCACCGACCGCTCGCTGTGTTGCTGCCTGCCCAACAAGGCAAGATATGACCCACTGGATTCATCCCTGCCCCATCTTGATCTCTATTCAGCAGAGATGATGAAAGGCAGCAACATCTGAAGGATGCGGGGCCAGTGACACCGAACACATGGTCGACTGCAACATTGTTCAGTGTTTGCCTCGGTATGAAAAAACAGCAGTCAAAAGGAAGCCCATGTATATCAATTCATGTGGCAAAGATAGATAGTATGAAACAATGAAGATCACTAAACCATTCATTCCGTGTTAGCTCTGTGATCAGCAAGTAAGCACTAACTATTTAATTAGTCAACTAATTAGTGACAGGCAACATGGAAGGCTTCAGATGTTCTCAGACAAATGCAAAGATAAAAAGCCTAATTAAACAGCAAGCATTATGCTAACTATTGCCAAGCAGGACAGATGTGCAGGATATTGTATAATACTGCGCTGCCAGATAACGGCAGTTGTAGCTGTTCTGTCAGAAACTGTGCTTTCAAAACCATCTCTATGCTAATCTGAGATAAACCCCTGCGCTGGGTTCTAACTTTACTTAAAGAGAAAACTCAGGGCTTTGACAAAACCCGCTGTAACACATTTGCTTTTTAACGCGACAACTGCTTTTAATGCATCCAAATTGAAAGAGAAATACTTCACATTTTCATACAAAGCACCGTGGTCTTAGCTGCCATTCATTTATTCCTGTTTTGTGCAATACATTATGTATATTTGCGATGTCCTCGGAGAGTAAGCCATTGTTTACACCAGAGGTTGGATTAAGAAGGTTTTCGAAATCATGGATTAAAAAGGGTTTTCCCTATAATCACAAGACAATAACGCTTTCCACAGCTATATGCAAAGAGGTGGATAAAAAGCTAATTGGTTCACTGCGCCGGGGCCAATGACAAGATAGTCCTGAGCAAGGCTTTTGGCGTTCCTGCAGCCCAACTTCAATCACCTGCTGTCAGAGAGCACTAGTTAGCACGTTGCTCTGTGAATCCTGCACCGCAATTACCTACAAATGCTGTTTGCAGAACTTTTTTCAAGCGTCTCAGGATTCGTGAATAGGAAAAGATTAAAGTGTTGGGCTGAAACTGCCATTCTTCAGAACCGACATGTAGAGAATTTAACTGAGATCTGTTCAGCTTGGTATTTCGGATTCAGGCAGTGTTTGACATCAGCTATTTCACTGCATTTGCTCTTCTTCCTGCTGAAACTCACCTCCAAGAACAGAACCCTGATTGGAACCCACCTCCCGTTCTGATACACACAGGTACTGACGTTCTGTATTCACAAAAACAGATTTTACAGTTCCAAATCATTCTCAGACGCGATTTTCATTTAATGTTTGCAAGCTGAACGTTTGAGACAGCTTTTTCACCTATAAATTAAGGATAGGTGCAGTTGATCTGCACGAGGACGACAGAAATGTAACTTTAAAAACTTCCATTAGTCTTAAATCAGACTCCCTGTTAGGGTCATTATTCATGGTAATTTGACAGCACTACTGAATCAGCATCACCAATTTGAGTGAAGGCCACGTTTTTGCTGCAGTGTCTCATAAAAAATCTTCTTGTTATAAATATATAAAGTTTTTTTAAAGCCCAAGTCACTCAAGGGAAACTACAAAAAGAAGAAAGCCTGTTTTCAGCCTAGCCTTCCTTTGGATTCACTCCAGGGCTCAACTGCCTTTCTCTCCACATCCACAACAAAGGAGAGGCAGCAACAACAGTTTGGAGGGCAGGGAACAATAGAGGCAAAGAGAGACTGTGTGTTGCTGGGCTGAACTGCTTTCTCACAATGGGAATATTCCTTCAGTTGCTACTTTGCTTTTAGGACTGGCCAGCACTCTGAACTTACATTGCTTCCACATACGGTTGGATGGTGCAGCAATTTGTGTGAGCTTTGTCTTAGCGCTGGAGAGTGACCTAAGTCCTGGCTTTGTGCAAGGGGAAGCATATAATTGCACTGCCCAGGAGGAGCCTCATGCAGGAATTGTGGGAATTACAATTCCTTGCCTGCTTGCCACGCTCCTGTGGGGAAGTTAATTACTGCAGCAATTTATGATGCAACGTGCTGCCCTCCTCCTAGCGCCTCAGATCCGCTGCCCGGCGTGCTGCAGATCCTCATGTGCCCGCCAGCTGCAGCAGAGGTGCAGCCCGAGATCGTTGCCACCTGTACCTCCTGGCATGAGACGGGCAGGCTCAAGGCTGCGGAACTGCCTGATGCTCCTCCTGCACTTGGCCATTCCTAGAATATGAAATCCTATCGAATGCATCCTAAAGAAAAGCAGCACTATAGCTTATGGCACGTCTGAATGCGATTACACTCGTGAAAAAAGAAATCAGCAGGAGATATTTATGTGAATGGTGACACATGACTAATGAGCTCACCTTCACTGACCTAGCATTACATTAAGCACAACGGAGGCAATTCTCCAGGGCTCAGGGTACCCCGAGCACAAGAAAGAATCCTCCCCTACTAGATGGTCATTCCGTACACTCACTTGCAGCATGTTTTCCTCTGCCCTTTGAAATAACCAGCACTGATTTGGCCACGCCAGCACTCTGACCTCGACTAGACGATCTCAGCGGTCTTTTCCAATCTTACTGATTCTATGACCTCTTCAACAAACTCTCCATGCAAACTAAGGAGCCAGAGTGAAGGACTTGCAGAAGCGTTTTGTAAAACAGCAGTTCACCGCCGCTCCGTTGCAGCAGGGTTTATAAAGTTCCTTCTCTGCCCTGATGGAGAAGCCTGGTGCCCACAGGCAGACTGGCCATGAGCTACGGTGCTGCTGGCACAGAACAATGGGACCAGGGCAGCTGTCTGCACAGCTCCAGGGAGAAGACAGTTCTTATTGTTATTTCTCTGTCCATTGAAAAATCTATATTTATTCAGTCTCAAACAGGTTGAAAACACTTGTAAAATCTAGTCCTAATAATTGTTAGGTAGGTAAGTGAATTACATTTGTGTGTTTCCATGGTGACTGATAATGTAAAATAATTAAGTATGAAGAATAATGAGGAGAAAACCACTTCCTCTTTTTAAGGATTAGGGGCTTACAAATTGATTCAATCTAGCTATTTTTAGTGCATGTAACCTTTGCAAAGAGTATTAGAAAATTATGAGTAAATCAAACTAAATTGTATTAAAAGGTCTTCACATCGATCAGGAGATTTTCTTTAACTGCTGCTGCTGAGAAAGTTAAAAAATATTTCCTAAACTTATACGTATGTTAAGACAAATTCTGTGACATTTGGACTAAGTACTGCTTGCTTTTTGCATTCTCAGAGCAATACTCAATTTTTCATAAGCATTCCAATTGTGCAGTGCTGAAGATGAGTGCTCTCTGGTGTACAAGAAGGACTTGTTCTGCACAAACTCTTACTTAGAATACGGTTCAAATAAAACTTCTGGCTGAGGTGTATCAGAGGTAGAGAGGATTTCCCAACAATATTGGTTCTACCTGTGTGTCCTGTTCACAACAGGAGGAGAGCTTCTGGCTGAGGGGGACAGATTTGGTTGGTTCACATATTTTGTAATGCTCTCAGACATTTCTACCATGTATTTGAATCTACTTGGAGAAGAACAAGTGAGTAAGAATTGCATTCTTGCACAAACAGACCAACCTTCTGAGAGCCCCAGACAGAGGGGTAAGTGGTGAGATAGCAGAGAGGGTCTCCCCTTCCTCACTTTGGAAAGTCTGTAGAACAGACCTTTCCCACCAGTTTCTCTCTGGTTAGAGACTGGGAGGTATAAAAACAGCTGCATACATTTATTCCCCTTCAAAAACAGTTTATACAGTTTTTTTACTCCAGTTTGGATAACTCAAGGTAAACGGAACAATTTAATTGATGGTTTTACTGCTAAAAAATTCTCTAATGTGGGCATTCAGCCTACCCTCTTGGTGGATCATTGGGCAGGTTTGTGACTACTGGAAAGTCCTCTCCTAGCCCCTTCTCACACTCTACAATAAAAATGGCAAAGGAGCCAGAAATAGCAATGCTGTGGTTCCCAAGCACTCCCCAGTACCAATATCAGAAGCAGAAAGATGCTGCTTCTCCTTACAGGCAGCACAGAGAAATGACAACTCCAGAAGCTCACATGGGATGTTCCTACACAGCTCTGGAAACAGCACCACAAAGAGGTAGAAGAACGGAGGAATTCAGACAGTGATCTGTGATTCTAATAGGCAAAACTAGCTTTAAAGATCAGCAGTGCTTTGCACACCATCCAAAAGGCTATGGACTTAATCTTTACTTACAGTATTTACGTATAAGAACAAAGGTCAAAGACACGAGGTATGTGGAATTCTCATTTTCTCCTGGCCTTCATTTTGAGGATCTACAAGGAACCTTGACAGCACTTTTGAAAATCAGAGCCTGTTAGGAGACACCAATCTTACTACATCTGCAAATTAGACACTCAGTTTTAATGGTTCATACTTGGACATGGATCCAAAGCGTGTCTTTTTTTAATTATTATCTTCTGTGCTAAAGGAAGAGTCCGAGATGATTTTTATATGGAGGAAGTAAGCGCCTTCAAATAAAGGTAATGTATTTTCTCAGTAAAGGAAATCAAATAAAAACCTTACCAAAAAACAAGTGTTTCCAGAAATGAGATCCCAACATCAGATGCACCGACCACCACAATTCTACTGTTGACAGACACTTTAGATTCCATTATCAGCTTTCGATTTATGTGGTTCAGAGAATACCTTGGCTGAAATAAATAGGTAAATTAATTAATTGAATGAGTGAATGAATAAAGTTCAAAATGACATAAATATACCTGAAAAATAAGTGGAAGGTCTGCTAAGAATCATTGCACTATCAGCCATGCATTACCTTGCATTCATGCAAAACTTATTACAGGTCACTGACATTACTAACTTTATGATTTTTCCATGCACACGAGTTAACACAGAAGACAAAGAATACGAAAATGGTGAAATATATGCATGCTTAAAAATTCACAAAATAATTAGCAACGTTAAAAATTAACAACAACAGCAAATTAACGTCCTAGCTTCTCTTGAAAAAGACACCATAGGAGAGACACCAATAGGAATGAGGATGTTAATAAAGTTAAGTCCTCTAAACTCATCCTATACCATTACAGGGGAAACATTCCCTACATATGAATTGACAGAGTGCAACAGATGAAGAACAAGCACTTTATTTTAGAGCTATGCTACTGACGTTGACCCGCTCAAGAAGAACATGACGTACTGAGAGCCCCAAACAACGTCATCAGTGATGGAGACCTCCAGCTGAGATTTCAACAGTCCCACTACCAAAGCTGTGTACCACACGACAGCACTTTCCCACACCTTAAGGAAGGATTAGGGGTCAATTATTCGCACGCTGTCATCATCACGTAGCAAACAATTATAAATGTGGCAAATAAATGCGTTCGTTGGTCATGTTATATATATTTTTTTTCTGCCAGATAAATGATCTTCTGACTGCAGTTCTACACAGTGCAAGGATGACATCCAGTGGTAAGTGAGATTCATCTCAGGGGCTGGATGCCACTAAGAAAATTCCAGAAGATATCTTCAAAAGTATACCAGCCTATGGTGGCTGCTTAGTGGAGAAGGCAAACGTGTGAGGCTCAGTTATGTGCCTGCAGTCTCACAGCCACCAAGGAGCTCTTGCCAGGAGCAGCTGCAGTGCTGCTCGGATTGTCATTATATAAGACATCTCCAGATTTCTGTGAACAAGTGGAACGATCTAATCCAAAGCCAGTGCTTTTTAACCTGCTAAAACACCTCCTACAGCAAGATCTGCCACTAAGAAGAGCATGATTGTGAATGAAACGTTTCAGAAACTGAAAAAAAACTTCTGTATCTCACTGAACACGAACGTGTGCTGATGTGCAAATCATTGAAAAGGATTTTAGGAAACGGGAAGAGCAGATGAAGATTATTGAAGTCATCCCTCCACCTAAAAGTGCTGCTCAACATAAAGCTTGCACTCCTGCTTTCATAGCACACTAACTGGGTAAGCTCTACCTGCAGTATTTGGCATGGTTCTGGGAGGGCTGACACGGCTGGAGGCAGTAATACAATTTTCTAGGGAAGAGTTGTATCTAATTTATGAAATGGCTTCTGTACCAATGACACAAAGGCAGCATATGAGCAGAATATAACTGTTTTTGTACACCACACAATGGCCTCAACACCAACAGCTGTCATGCTTCAGAAATCACCTTTCTAGCAGCTAAGTACACTAAATGGCCCCAGGGAGTAAGGAATTAGGTGGATTGGTCCCATAATACCACCTTATTTTAACAAAATGTCAGGACAAATGACTACATATGTTCCCCAGAGGAGTAATCAGACATCATAATTGATAGGTCAATAGCAAGCTCTAACTTGTTTATTTTCTATCCAATTTATTAAATAAAACTGCAATCATTAACTAATATAAGGCAGAAAACAATTATTGCCATTGTTAGAACAGGTACACGTAGCTCAGTGAAAAATCCTTTTGTTGATCATCAAAATGAGGGTTTTTTTTTAATTTCTTTTCCTCTGTTTTCCTCTCCTATCTGCCAGCCTTTGCCACCGCACCACCTGTCACATTGCTTCCACCTGGGAGGGCAGAGGGCCCACCTACAGCTTCCATTCCAGCTGCTGACAGAGACAGCTTCTCTTGATTAAACCTTGGGGGATGTTTGTTCACGTGGTCATTGCCATTCACTTAAAGGCCTCAGACTTCACCTTTGATACTTCGGGATTTCTAATAGAAACACAAATCCTGCACATAAATCATGTCTCACCCATCATCTCATAGCACAATATGCACAGCATTACGATTTCGTGCATCCTTCTACACCAAGTGAGCAGCTGGGGAAAAAAAAAAAATGAAATAATGGCTTGGTTTTAGCAAACACGTTTGAATGCACATCTTCCTTTTTACTTTCAAAGCAGGTGAGGGAATATCACACATCCATTGGGCATGCCCAGATCCACCCACTCCGTCTGCATACTGCCTGGGAATGTATTGGTTGTGTATTTACTGACAACATACATTGATAAACAGCAATGCAGTGTTTTCTAGCTCCTGTTAGATTTGTTTGTAAGCAATGGGCCCTGGAGCTATGGGACTCTTTGTAGGATATCTAAATGCATTTGCTGCAATTGTTTCTAAAATAGGACTGGTCTTATATCAAATTCTATGTTTGTTTAAACAGAAATGATGAAAACCAAAAAAAAAAAAAATCCCAAAATGAAAAATGAGTTGGACTGAGGATTTTAGCTTTGACAGAAAGAAGCAGTGGGATGTTCTGAATTGAGTACTGGTAAATGCATCCCAGTAAAGCGTTCAAAGTGTGTCAAGGAGAGTTGCTACAGCCATCGCTGTAGCTGGTCATGTAAAGGCTCTATAAAGCCAAGGCTTCATAGAATCCTCATAGAATGGCCTGGGTTGAAAAGGCCCACAATGCTCATCCAGTTCCAACCCCCTGCTGTGTGCAGGGTCGCCAACCAGCAGACCAGGCTGCCCAGAGCCACATCCAGCCTGGCCTTGAATGCCTGCAGGGATGGGGCATCCACAGCCTCCTTGGGCAGCCTGTTCCAGGCTTGGGCTTGATTTTATCACATGCTGAGTGCCTAAGCCCTATTCAGCCAAAACCAATCAAGTGTTTGCTAAATGTGGAAATGCCACTGAATTCAGAAGGGCTGAACTTTGAATTAAGGGCAATAACAGATGAACATGGAACCAATTCACCTGTGTAAATGGCATCTTGGCAGATCCTTTACTGCTTCTAGAAGGAACAGGAGGACCTCCGCTCAGCAGCACCTTCCCAGTCCTGTTTTCTGTGATTCCATGCATCCCTGCAATGCTTTTAACTGAGCACTTGCTCAGAGAAATCTGAATAATAGCTATTGCCATACAGGATCTACATAATTTGGGCTCTGCTACTTTAAAAACCATCAGGAGTGAAAACAATCAGCAGATCTGTTCCTAGGCTAGTGCCGAGATTAGCAATAGTGGTAGGCAAACAAGAAAGTGAACAAACAGACCTGTTTTAATTTCAAGCTCCATTAGATTCATAGGAAAAAAAACCCACCACCACAAAAAAGGCAGCCTAAATAACTTTAATTCTTTGTCAAAGAAACCTTCTTTAGAGTAACTTGGCTCTATAAAATGGTTTCTGGAAGTAAAGATACTTAGCTTTTCCATAACATTTTTCATCCATAGATCTCAAAGGCCTTTATGAATCAAGTCATTCTTATTATTCCCCTTGTTTTCTGGGTGAGAAAATGCTGATCTTCAGCTTCTGGATAAACCACAAACTGTACATTCCTGACAATCCCTGCAAAATCAGGGATTTCCTATCAAACTCCAGAAAGCAGAGCGTGGACACATACTTAATTTCCCTGCAGAACCACTATTACCATGGTAAGAAATTGTTCCCTTTTCTTATTATTTCAGCATTAACATTTGTCTTCCCAGCCCAGCTGGACAGTTCCCACTTGCATGAAGCTCTCATGGTTGCTCTGCTTAAAAGAACATTTGTTCCTTTATGCATTTGGCTACACTCTACACGTTGCTATTTTCAAAGAGAATTCATTTTTTCCCATTTTTAGGGGAAGTGATGTGTAGGAAGGCACGGGAACTTCAGCAAAGCCACTTAAGTCTATAAAGTGGGTTGGAAAGTGGGTAGAGCACATGGCAGGCTCTCAGGGTGATCTCCCCCAGATGTTAAGATGAAGAAATCAGCTTTATAGAGGTCAATGCTGACCCGTTGTTTTAAGAAAGCTGGCAGTCCTTGATTCCCATTTCACTTTTGTCTATTTATTTCTATTCTACGAGATGCTTGGGGTGGGAAGCAATAAATAGAAACTTTTTTTTTTTTTTTTTACAAGATTAAAAAAAAAAAATACAAAGAGCAACATCTAGGAACCTCAGCCTGAAATAACTTCCAGATATTATCCATCTAGACTCTCAGCATCAGTGTGAAAATACGGGAGAGCTCGGACTGGATGGCTTTCAATTCTGTACTCCTAATTTACATAGACAGGTCTATTCCACATGACATCAAGAAACTACACTGATCTCCTCCAAAGAAAGCTCTAGCTGGGCCTGAGGGTGCAACAGAAAACAGGAGCTGCCAACAAGCATCCAGACTCTGCTGATGCTGTGCTGAAAGTCTCCTCGTCCTGCTCTTGCACAGAACTGCTCCCAGTAAGCTCCAAGCTTGTATCACAGAGAAACGCAGCCAGGCACTGGATAAAAGGCACCAAGGAGCCACAACAGAAACAACGTGCTGAGTGAAAAATCCTAGCACTTGGAATCACTCTAGAAATAGCAACTAGAATGGATACTGAGCAGACAAAGCTGTGCACATTGCTCACCAGTGCTGTTAGCTGATCCCAAAGTCTATTAGATAATGCTATCAATAATCCCTCAGTCATCTGACTGGAAGATGCCTCCATCTCACACACAAACCCAGCATCCAGAAAGGCTCCACGTGCTGCCAGCAGCCCAACAGACAGTGCTTCTAACTGACAGCACTGCTGAGAGCGGTGGCTCAGGTGGCCCCATCCTATGCCAAACTGCTCCCGGGGAGCATCCTGTAGGCGGGCCACGGTGCCAGGCTGCTATGAGTGAGTGGTCGCAGCCTGGCCCTGCTGAGGAGGCCGGGGCTGGCGCTGAGCCCTCGCCTACCCATGCCCGTCCGCATGGAGATGGATCTGCTTTGCAGGGGCA